GGGGGGCTTAATTTTTGTCCTTGTCATCCAACATGAAGGCAACAATGAAAAAAAGACAAAGCAATGAAATATGCAGCAAGGCGCGCCAGGCAATCCAGATTCTGATTTTATTTCAACTCATTTTGGACTCAGTTATTTCATTTGGGACTTTTCCTACACCTATAAATAGTCCATAAACACGTTTTGAAAACGAAAAAGACTTTTGACATAGACAGAGTTTGGAGCTGCCGTGGAGATGGAGTTAATTGAGTTTTACCTTTTCTTCTCCATACTATTCATTTTGTGTTATTCTGGATGATTTACGGTATTTCCTCCATGTCTATGTGGAGCTAAATTTTTCGTTCTAGGGGGTTGTAAACGTTATTATTTGAATATTATTTTCAATTAATTAGTTTATCTCATTGGTCGGTTGTTCAATACTGTTCTTAATTATTTTGTTGCATAGCTAACAGTGAAATACTATTCACGCATCTATAATTGAGCAGTACAACATAAATTATAGATTGGGCATACGGTTGATTAGAGTGTGTTCTCCTAATAGGAGGGAGCGAATTCGTGATTAGGCAAAACATAGCTAATCGCGTTGCTTGATAGATATACAAGGAGATATAAATGCATTCTCATTAATTCTTTTCTACTAGACATAGAGAATTAGGTTAACTTGAATAGACGCACAATTACTCGACAGAAAATTATGAGTAAAATTAACCGTGTCAATCAATAATCATAATAAATTAATTAGTTAAATCAATAACACGATTGTTAGATAACCCATATCCCTAGATCGATTTTACCTCATTGACAACATAAAAATACACTCTTTCTTGGTTAAAGTTCATTAGTACTTTTCTTTTTATTTTAGTTAGTTTATAATTATAAGTTTGGATTTTATTTGTTGTTAAGTTAATTCACATTAAATTAATTTAGTTAACAGTTAATCACAAGTCACTATGGGTTCGACATTTGACTTTTAGTCACTTTATTACTTTACGACCGCATGTCCTTATGAGTGAGTTTGGCCGCAACAAGTTTTTGACATCATTGTCGAGACTTAGAAATTAACTATTTTTCTAAATTAGACTTTTGTGAGGCCTGTCAATTTTTAGTTTAAAGTGTTTTAAATTTAGGTTTCAGATGGGTGGATCCGGCAAGCTCGCCGGAACACATCCAATAGGGGAGGATAGCATCTTTTACAACGCAGGTTTCAAGTCCTACGACATTACGAGATGTAAAGACAAAGTTGGGAGTTGGTTTGAATGGGTGGAACTCAGCCGACGTCAGATGAGAAGAGTGGAAATTAGCATTGAAGTCCTGAAATGGTTAGTTACAGTATTTATTGAAGCTTCCAAAGTGCAGGGGAGAACAGTTAAGAGGTGGAACATGTAGGACCACTTTGCTGCATTCTATTGCACTCTCAAATACAATGAGAGCGGGAGATACATCAGTTTTATAGCATTAAAAGGTCAAAACAAATCAGTCATAATTACTCCAGAATCTACATTCAAAGGAGGTTGGGGGAATGTAGCTCACAAGATTGCTGGGTTTATTTATGAACCAGACGAAACACAGGGGATAACAGTAAAGGACAACAAACAACTTCACAGGTCCTACAAAGAAGCTCTCTTCCATGACAGATGGGTGACGGAGGTAACGGAGAAGGCAGAGATAC